GAAATTATTGGCCCCACACACCACAATTCGAGGTGCGTAGGGGTATGTTGATTATATAAGCAAGCTTGAGCTTCTGTAAGCCGCACAATGCCGCCGGGCACCACCTAAGCAACAACAAAAGCAACGAAATAGCATTCAGTGAACGGCAGGTAGTCAGACCAATTGTCATCAGATCGAGCCTCATTGTCATGGCTGCTGCTGTTTGTGGGGCCTGTTCAGTTGCTGATCTAGCCGATAAGGCGAAACTGGCTTTCGACTTCGACAACATTTCTTTGCCATTGCTCAATGGACTCGACACGGTGGGGAGAGGGGGGCGAAAAAAAAACACTGGGCCACATAATTTTTCAAACAGGCCAGCATTACACCAAACTAATTAAAAAGTCAGCGAACAAAGCGAAGTAATATATGTAATATTTGTTTTGAAAATATCAACTGAGTAAATCTATATTTGACATCTTGCATTTTAAAGTGCTTCCCAAACTGTAGCTTGCGTAAATTTTGTGGATGTGGTGCTTTAAGTCAAATGTCGGGCTATTGCCAACTTTGTTGCCAGCAGGCAAACAAACTAAAAGGCAACAGGAAAAGCCATAACTACAACAATAGCAACAACAATGACATACGAGTATTACAACAAGCAATATGAAAACACCCCACTAATCAACTGGAGATTTGTGTGTCGTGTTTTCAACACTTTTGACCCTAATGTGTTTGCCTGGCCTTTACTCATGAAGGAGTTTGTTTGTTAAATGCTATTTTTCAGCGTTTTTAAACTTGTTTTTTTATTTTTAACGCAACTCATTTGTGGCACAAGCCAGGCAGGAAAAAAACAGAGGAAAACATTTGCAACTTAACTAAACATTTGCATAAACTTTTGACTTTAATGCTGTAATAACTTAGGTTTTCGCCAGAGGTTATAAATAGATTTATTGGCATAGTTTGAGAGTCATTGTGATTTTGGTTAACGTATTGCTGTTCCAGTAAGATAAACTATATTTAATGACAGACAAAAATATCTCACTAAGCTATGGAGTACTGGTCTATATATTTATAATTCAAATTAAAAGATTTAGAATGCATTGGCCTTTTTTCTATAACATTTTCTATGTAGCCTCAGTCTTATAAGTTTCGCCTCTCAGTTGGTAGATTTAAAAAACAGAAAACGTCACTTATACGATTGCTTGGAAATAAAAATATGTTTGTATTGTTTGTGCTTTAAGTTTTTTATAACGATCTGCGATTTCTTTTTTATCCGTAAAAAAATAAATAATAAAATATATTAAAAATAAACGAGCAAAGTTGGTTGTTCTTAGCTTTAAGTTTGCTCCATTTCCAATTTTCAACTATTAAACTGAATAGTCCTGTTACACAAGATTGTTGGCTATATGCTTATATAAGTAATACTCATTTATTATTTAGAAACTCCACAACTGCACACTAAAGCTTAAAAGTTTTATTTGACGTAGCCCAGAGGTTTCATTCTTCATCTTTTCCTACACGATGAACTATTCTGTAACTGGAAGCCTAACTGCAAAGTTTAATCCATTCTCAGTGTGGTCTAGACATCTGGAAAAGTCTTCCTTACCCTCTGTCCAAAAACCTCAGTACCACTAAATGACCTGCCAACAAATCGAAGCTAAGCAACTCAAAGTGCTTTGAGCGGCCATTACTTGAAGCGTGTCCAGCCAGTAAAGACAGTTAACAATTAAAGAAACAGCTGCCTACTTGCTGACAAAAGTCCAAGAAAGACAAAAGTTAATTTGGGATGTAAGAAGCGAAGAATACTTTGACAACGCGGTGGGTTATGCAATCCGAGTAATTCTTCAAGTACAACACCTTTGCGCGGCACATTTAAATAAAGAAGGTGCAAGAAGTGGATTGACAAGTGGATCTCGGCCCGCAATTAGTTGTAAGTAGTAGTATGTTTAACGTTATGATGAATTGTTATTTGAGCACATAGCCAAGCTGAGCTGAGCGTTAAAGGCTACTTAAGTCTTGGCCCATTGTCGTCTATTCAAAAAGCTATTCCAACTGCGTACAGACTCAAGGAGAACTGCAAGCATGCAAGATTGAATTACATGTGAAATGGTCGGTCGTATGATGAGTAACTTGGCTTGAACGTTTATGGCTCAGTTATAAAAATGATGATGATAAAAAAAGTACTTAAATGACCTTGCTGCTGAAATTGTTGAATGAATGGAAACACATTTTATGGACTTGATGCAACTTAGTTGTCAAAATAAATAGTACAATGGTGACTAATCAGGAAGAAAGTGTGGTGCTAATCAAATATTTTCATTATACTTAATAGAAAATTTATAAAACTATGTGCAAAAGACATAAATATCGAAGAAATATAGAAGATTAAGGACTAACTTTTCTGTTGTACCTGGAAAATAAATTGGAAGAAAGTGTGTTGCTAATCAAATATTTTTATTATACTCAAAGGAAAATTCATAAAAGTATGTGCGAAAGACCTCAATATAAAATAAACAAGCTGCTTCGATTAAGGAATAGCTTTTCTGTTGTACCTGGAAAATAAATTCTTGAGCTAACTTGGCTATTGTTGGCCTGCTATTCAATATTGATTGTAAGTATGTATAGCATATCTATTTGATTTGATTTGTTTAATTGTGGCAGCCTTTACACAAAATATATTCCGATTCCAAGTCAGCTTTCTTTCTAAATCGAATTTCTAACAGTAACAGGCTCTGAAATGAATACGCTTTTCTTTAATCGGACTAACTTTATCGAAAGTATAAACTTATTTCAAATAACTTTTAGCCCTACATATATATGTTGTAGTTTTGGGTTTGCAAAAAAAAGATAGCGACATGTTATTCTTCAATGTGAAATAGCTTGCAAGTTCCACAAAATCGATATCATTTGTTTGTTAATTATTTTCTTTCATGAATATGTTAAATATATATTTTTTGTTTTATATGAGTCTTATTTGCAACAGCAATCGGCAAATCCAGATTATATGATTTAGTTGCCCGTTGTTTTGTTATCGAAGGCTTGCAGAATATGTTATCGTTTATATAATAATTAAATGAATACAAAGTTCCCTTAAAAGTAGATGTTTTTTGAACGATTTTGTCATGGAAAAGTCCCAGGAGCAGATTTTCTTTGCTTTATTTATTTTATTTTTTTTGAAAGCCTCTGAATTGATTCTGTAGACTTAAATTGAATGCAGACCCGATCTATTTTCGTCATCTATTCAAAATATTTGACAATTTCGCTATTAGAAATAATCTAACGAAAAAATCATACTTATATATCGCTTATTAAAGTATTCCTAAAGTAATATTTATACTTAGAACTATTTCTTAAAAAAAAAACACAAATTTTGGGAAGAATTTCACAAACAGACAAAACACAAACATTGCCATTGATATTAAAAATTCCCAAACATTGAGCAGCTTTAAGCATACTTATTGCGCATAATGCCCAAGTATTTGTAACATCTTTGGAGTAAAAGTATTAGCCGGCGCTGCAGGCTGTTAAAACAGACAAGCAGCAGCTATTTGGAGAAGAAATAACGTTGACTGATTTGTGCATTAAGCGATAAATTCAATGGGCCAGAGTGTGCAGTAAAAGTAAATCAATATGCGAGTAAAGGAGATCCATCCGGGCACTTCAAGAAACAGGTCAGAGTGGAGCGCCGCCAATTCAATTACAGAAATCGAGGGCGTTGCAACGCTGAATATTTACGACTGTACATGCAGCATGGAACGAATGGGCATCACACATCTGTTTTCTAGTAATATCCATGCCTCGGCGTCAGGTAATGATGCAGAGAAAGAAGCAGCAGTAGTGGCATCAAAACAGGGCATCGATCAAAGTGTTGCATGTGTTGCATCGCCGCCGCATACTCATTATTAAAAATTATTTCGAAAAAATTCCTTTGTTATGCCGCAAAAGCAGCACTCAAGTAGCATCTACACTGCTCTACAGATTTTTTCAATACAAGCAATAAATGTTGTCTTCTATTTGAAACTTGGCTTTAACTTTTCAAGTCTTTTATATTTTGTGGATTGAACTTAAAGGCGATTATGAATAGACGAGTATATGTACATAAGTTAACTTTAACACTACGATTTCAAAAACATTAAAGTTTCTTAATTCTGGATAGAATATGGAATCCTCTTTTTTGCAAGTCAATTGTTTGTATTTATGAGGAGTTTTCTAATAGTATACTTTAAGAATTTCAAATCAAATAGAGATAGATTCATTTGTTTTTAAATGAAATCTAAGCTTCACGATTTGAAATATTAAAAAAAAGATAATTTTATGTTAACGGATAACTAAACCAACTACCTTTGTGTTGTGAGACTGCGTTCTTAGTATTAAATGCTTTTTCAGATAATGTTTTGTCGAAGAAGATAAATATATAGCAGTAATCCACATAGTCATGTTTTTAACTCTCTTTAAAATGTATACTACATTGATTTTTCGTTCTATAACAGCATTTTTCCGATCAATAAAAAATATTAAATTGTCTTAAAATATTATTCGATCTTTAAAAGTTCTCCCAAGTTCTCTGTAGGCAATATAAAAGATTATGAACACATATGGCTGTTTGGTTGAAAGCAAACGAAACGAGGAAATTGAATATTCAGTTGAAAATATCTATAATCTCAATAAGGCGATACAAAGAAACAAACCCAACTCTTGGTTCATCCAAAGAATCACAATCTAGAGCGTTGAATTTTTCAATAGTACTCAATTAAAACTTAGATGAATAAAGAAATCTTAAAAACCAAATAAATGTTGGTTACTTCATTCAAAAACCCATAGCACATCTTTTACATTATCTTCCGAATTTTCGCAGTCCATATGGAATATTTCAGATAATACGAACTTTATAAAACTACGACATAAACGTATTTTTCTTAAATCCCAACCAGCAGTTGTTCAGCTTTGCTGTTTGCTCGTTTCAAATAAAACCATGTAGTCTAGTCTAGTTTTGTTTTTAAAAGAAAAAGGCAGAAGCAACTTACCCTCGCAAGCAATCGCAGCGCCCGCATCATCCGCATCATCATCGCTTTCAATAAGTTCCCATTCCGCAGCGCCATCTCCGCTATCCAACGATGCCAGACGCAGTGCAGCCAAGTCCTCCAATTGTTGTGCCGTCACATTCATGCCGAAGTAGCCATCCGCACACTCCTGGCACTTTAGTCCAATGACGCCCGTCTTGCATACACACTGGCCACTATTCGGATCGCAGCTGTCCAGTGCGGCCGCTCCCAAGGCATCACAGTTGCAGGGCAAGCACTTGAGGTCCACATTTGCGTAGCCCGCGTCGCAGATGTCGCACTTTTGGCCCGCAAAGCGTGGCCGGCACAGACACTGGCCATCGGCGCTGTCGCAGAGTCCACTCTCCGCCCCATCGGCGTAGCAGTCGCAAGGTTCACAGCCCACGGCTGGATCCCCCCAATAGCCCAGCTTGCAACGCTCGCAGTGCCAGCCCTCAGTGTTGCCCCGACAGGTAATACAGGCGCCTGTGGTTATGTTGCAGGGTCCGCCATCGCAGTCACAGCGCTGGCACACGCTGCCCAACTCCAGGGGATCCCCAAAGTAGCCATCGTCGCTGCATTTGTTGAAATAAATAACATATAGCTGCTTTAATTTTCTATTTAAATATCTCTCAGAAACTATGCACGAATGTGGGTTGTAAATTGTCTTTCTTGGTGAGAGGTTTGTGTCGGGACTAGCAGATGGTGAGCCAGTAAGTAAGTAAGTAAATGTATGAGGAGGGACTGTGTCTTGACTAACTGTTATTGTGGATTGTGTCTGGGACTGTGGATTGTGAGTGACTAGAAACCAAACAGAGTTTTTTCCTTTATATTAATTTTGCTATTATTATTACAATAACTTTCATTAATTTGTTAACAAAATGGAGAAATATAAGAGATAAACAACAATTGACAGTGAAAAGTGGGATAAATGATACGAAAAAACACCTAAGCTTAATGACTTAAACCTAACAAAAAGATAAACCAAACTGCAATACAGAAAAAACTTTAATTGAACAATAAAATGTGTTCCATTTATAAGAGTCCTCTGCGCTTGAAACAATTGTCTAGCGATGTTGGTTAGTTTGAAATACTAATACATACATACATATGTATACACCTAGCCCTCGCTTAACATGGGGGCTGCGTTCCTAGTACTTAGAAAACCTCGTGTTAAGCGAAATCTTCTTACATTTCAACAAAGGCAACAAAAAAATAGTAAGAAAGTTTTATGTTCAAATTTGTGGTTGTTGTTAAGGTCCAAACATGATTGAAATGGACAAAAAATTACTTCAGTTGTTAAATATATACGGATAGGCCCTATCAGAAAAGCAAATATTTTCAACGAAAAAAGTATTAAAGCATTAGAAAATTTTAGATCCATTTGTTGGCTCAAATTAAAAGTAGTAAACATGTTTTTTTTTTTTTTGTTATGGTCCTCTTGCTTGGCAAACAAACATATTTTGTGATTGTTTATTGGCTTTTAAAAAAGTATTTTTTGATTGTTTAGTGGCTTTTAATTATTTTTTCCAACTATCTCATAAACTTGCATGGTGTTTCCATGAGGTTCATTTAGAGGTTATATTTGTAGGTTCAGTTTCTTCAGAGTTGTTGTCATCTACTAGTTTAGAATTGCTTGATTGATTCACAGCAATTTAATGTAATAGTTCGTCAACAATGCCTCTGTCTTCCAACAACTCTTGCGCATCATCGAGATACTATAAATGTCTTTGAATCAGAAGACAGTTTATTTATTTATTTATTTATTAACCTTATCCTAGCGTTACAAGTATCAGGTTACTTTTATATTATTCGATTTTATTTGAGTTTTATCCAAGTTTTAGCGTATAGAGCGCCAGTTATACTGTAGTAGGTATGATATGTCATGAAAGTGCAAATAATGTGCTGTTTTATTGTTTACAGAAGTGATGTTCTATATAGTAGAATATATTTTACTTGGACATTAAGATGGTTACAATAAAAGCGTTTAAAAATGAAATTGTTCCCTATTTCAATTACATTTATACCATCTTCAATAGTGTAAGAAAGAGGTATGCTTTATGTTAAAAGGAGGAAGGGAGCATATTTATGAAAGAGTTCGTTTCAAGCGAGGGCTAGGTGTATATATTTTCCAAAATCAAGAAACTGTTTACTTACCACACTTGGCAGTGGTCGCCGGTATAGCCCTCCGGACATTGTGTGCATATATATTCGGCATGTTCGATGAGCTCGAATTGTGGATTAAGGTCGACGTAGCTGTAGGTCTTGAGCTGGCAGCTGGGCGAGAAGTTATTGGAGTCCTCCAGCAGCGGGCAGGCACACCTTTTACAGTCATGGGGTGTGCCCTGCAATGGGTTGCCATAGAAGCCGAGCTGGCAACGCTCGCAGCTGCAAAGAGAAACGTTAAGAGGTTTGTGTCACGACTAAGCTGTGGTAAACTAGATTGCGTCTGGACTGGCCAGTTGTGGATTGTATTTTGTGATGGGTGGCATCTCTACTCACCGCTCTCCGAATGTGTTGTGCATGCAGTCGCCACAGTTGCCGCTTTGAAGGTCACAGGAGTTGGAGTGTCCGTTGCAGGGACAGGGAATGCATTTGCCGAGCAGCTGATGGTTCGTAGAGTTCTCGTAGGTCCGCTTGTAGCCAAAGGCGCAGCCCTCGCACGACAAGCCCGTGTATCCGGGCGGACAAATGCACTGCTCGACCTGGGTGCTGGCATGGGCGCCCAACTCCACACCACCCGAATAGATGACGGCACGCTCCAGCGACGTCTCCACCTGATCGGTGTGGTAGGCAGCGCGAATGAGTAGGGCATCCAACGAGACCAGCACCGACAGGAATTGGGAGCGTGTAACCGCTTCGCCGTGATAGGCACCGCTTTCAGTGCGACGCAGACGCGTCTTTATGTCGCGCACAGCCGGCGGTACATGATACCAGCCCTTCTCCGTGAGCGTCACATTCAAGGCGGCCGTCCCGCCCTCGAAGGATTCATCGGCATAGGCAATTTTTAGGCCATTGCGACCGCAGAGTATTAGATTGGGTCCCGTGGTGGGTTTCCCCGACGTATCGCCACGCATGATCACCCATGCCACCTGCAGGGAGAGGCGAGCTCCGTAGCTGGTCAGACGATTTCCCAAATAGCCAGCAGGCGCCTGCCAATAGATCGCCTCCACTTCGTCCAATTCGTTGACGAAATTCAAACGATTTGTTTCCGCGTCCACACTGACGGCGACTGCTTGTGTGCGTTGTATATCCGTGAGCTTCCAGTCGTTCAGCGTTTCGAATGCTAGCGTTTGAAGCTGGGCGCTGTGACAACTCTCCGACACATCGGAGCACCAGCAGCGCGTGCAGCCCTCGTCATTATTGGCGCTCAAATCGTAAAATCCTGGCGCGCATTCCCCGCACGTTTCTCCGCGCACATGCGTCTTGCACTCGCAAGTTCCTGCACACTCGCTGCCGGCAATGGTGCCGCGCGAATCGCACTCACAACGCCGACAATCGTCGCCATAATAGCCCGGAGCGCACTCCTCGCACCGGGCGCCCTGGAATCCCTCCAGGCACTGGCAATTGCCGCCTCGTGGGTCACAGGTGCCAGTGGAGCGCTGGACATTGCAGGCGCAGGGCAGGCAGGGATCTGTGGTCTGCGCAGCCACTTCCCTGTAGTAGCCGCTCGCACAGAACTCGCACTCGTTGCCGGCAGTATTGTTGCGGCAATCCACGCAGATTCCCTGCTCCAGGAACTCGTCGTAGCTGCATTTCTCCGCATGCCCATTGCACTGGCATATTTCGCACTCGTTCGCCTCCCGTCTGCTGGCCGTGCGATACGCCCGATCCTGAAACAGTGGACAGCATTCTTCGCACTGATCTCCACAGGTATTATGCTGGCATAGGCACTGCAGGTGGCTGGTTGTTGTTGTCGTGAAGTTCCCGGCAAACTCCTGGACACGATTCGCATGACCATGGCAGTCCAAACGAGCACCCACTCGCACCTGCTTGAGCGAATAGAAACTGCGCTTCTCCAGCGACTGAGCATCGAGCAACCAATCCACACTGTTGTCCAAATTAGCCGTCGAGTGCATGCCCTGCAGGCGTATGCGAATAAATCGCGCTGTTATGAATCGCAACAGCCCTTCACTCTGCTCAATAGCTCCAGGTCGGTTCTTGACCAGCGACACATGCAGTTCGCCATTCTCCAACGGCAACGGCTTGGAGAACTGTGTGCTGCAGATGATTTCTGTATCGTTTTGGAACTCATATTTGCCATTCTGGCCGGCCAGATTGTAGCGACGTCGACAATCGGCATCGCTGAGGCCAAAATACTGCCAGGGCTCGTAGTTAACGCCGTCTACGGACTTTTCCAGTATCCAGGAGGCGGGACGTGGCGAGTTGGCCGACTTCAGCATGATGAGGAACACCTGGTAGGTCTGAAAAAAATAATAAACTGATTACTTAGCCGTTATGGAAAATCTTCCAGAGGTAGAGAGAAGTTATTATAATTGAAGTATATCTGAACATAAGCAAATAAGTTCCGGTATAAAATATGTACGAGTATATATCTAGTTCAGATATTTGTGCAACTATTATCTTGGACATACGTTATTTTTTTCTGACTAATTTAAGCATTTATTAAAAAGTGTAAGGGCGTGCTGTGTTTGGAAACACCTACAAGGATAAATAATAGACCACATCTAATCATCATAAATTTAATTTATTAATTAATAAAATATTGACTGCCGACTTATTGAAGATATTTTATAACTGATTAAGGGGATTAAAGCTATCCCCAGAAATGATAGTTTTTTAGAGAGGGAGGGGGAATTGTGTTGAGCTTAATAGAGAAAGTTCGTTATAATTTAAACACATAGTCTGCATATAGACAAGATAAACGGAAAATAATCCCCTGTGGTTTTACAAGGAACTGTAAAATTAACTCGACCTAAATAGGTAGCGGAGTCTACTTCAGCAATAATTGGCTTGTTTCTCCACAGAAACGAACACAACGAACAGTTAATCAAAGCACTTCTCCAAAGGTTTAGGAGATATCGCGTGTTTGTAGATGCTATGGTAGGGATTGAAATGGGCTGGTTTTTTGGGGCTGTCACGGTAATTATGTATATACCACTCGTTCATATTTTGGAATATGATAATACATTAAAGAAGTAACAAATAATTAACTGTAAGCAATATGGGTAAATGGCATATAACTTTGAAAACTATTTATGGGTTTCATGCTTTTTAAAAACAAATTGGCATAATGAAGATAGTTTCCTATGAAATGTACTTGTGAAGGAAAAACAAAGCTTAATGAAGGGAATAAGTCATGTTGGAATGCAAGTTGGATAACGTTTTAAAAGGCAACTCATACTCAGTTTCTTAAGAAGTCTTCGTTATGATAAAATTATTGCAGTGTTACACTTCAAAAGCAAAATGTAATATTATTAATCGAAGTTACTCAGAAAGGTTGATATACTATACTCATTGATTGTGGCTGAATTTATTTTAAAAATTATTTAAAACAAACTTGAATGAACATCACTCTTTAAAAACATTTTCATTATGGTTTGGGGATTGCCATTTTATTAATTTTCGCATAAAATAGTAATCGTTTATCATTCGCACCCACCCAAGAATTGTCGCTACGATTTGCTGATGTTTCTATTAAATTTTTGCAGCTACTACGTCTATAAGCTCGGCTAAAACCGCTGCTGGGCAAAAGTTTAAGCAGCGTCATAAATTGTTGGAGCTGTCTGGCAAACACACGACGGCTAAGCACAACAACAAACACTTGACAAACAATATTTATACATTTTCTAGCCTTTACAAAAATTGTTAAAAATAGTGGCAAGAAAAAAAAAAGAAATAGCCGTTAAAGGCGAAACAACGCCACAAAGTCGCGTGTTGTTGCGCCTATCGGCGCCAACGGATCGGATCGCAAAAGCAAAAGCAAAAATGGAAAATTCAATAAAAAACGCATACGAGCGGCAATTGAATTTTCGGATTTTCTGTTTGCCTTCTGGCGACAGGCGACAGGCGAAGGTGGGTGGTGGAAGGTGGGAGGTGGAAGGTGTGGCAGCCAGCCAAAGCGACCCATGATAATTGATTAAGCCAGCTGGTGCCGTCTCGCTCGCTCCTCATGCTTGCACACCAGTCAGTTGAAAAAAATGTCAAGCATATCGAATGAACATCAAAATACGATAACAAACAGACAAGTGAATGCAACAGACACAGCAGCAACAACAACAGCAACAACAACTCTATCAAGTTACGAACAGCACCTGTTCTGCTGGGGCAAGTAGCTTTAAATGGACTCCACACCACGGTCTAATATTTCCACACACACACACACACATCTCTAATGATTTTCCAAAATTGATAAAACACACGCACGGCGTATGCGCAGCCACTGGTTTCTGCGCATGCGTGCCTCAAATACTATCAACAACTGCAACAACTACAACAACTGCAGGGAGCCTGATAAGATTAGCGACTTGGAGACTGCTTTTGGAGTGAACATCAAAACTCTGCTAATTTGCAGAAAGCGCTACGGCTTTGATCTGCGCTTTATTGCGAAAAATGTTAAGAGAAAACTCAAAGTAAGACGTCTACTCGTATGTATTGATAATGAATTGATAATGAATTGAAAAGTGGGTCAGCCTTCTGCGCACGTAATAAGGCGGAAAATGTGGCAATCGATTATTGTAAAACTTCAAAAAGTAAATAAAATATTCATTAAGAAATTATAACTATTTATTAGGGAAGACTTGCTTCTTGACAATATTGGCAATATTATACAAGTAGTATAAAGGGTATAGTTCTCACTTACATAATCGCAGTTTAAATACGACTGACACCATTTAAATAAAATAACTATTCCTTTTCTCACTTACATTAAAGCAGTTTAAATACGGTTGCAACCAATTAAATAAAATAACTTTTTCTTTTACTAAAAAAGAATTACTCACAACATCATTTTTATACAATGCCCCCAATTTGTTATTTAATTTAATTTTAAATTTATTCATTATTAAATCTCTTTCATTATAATAAGTACCATTCCAATAATAAAAAAACACAAAATAATTATATTTAAGTAGTGAAATCCTGACCGTCTAATGCCATGTGTCAAAAAAGTGCGCCTTTTTGGGATCGTAGGAGGATAAGCTTATTTAAAATTGGGGTAAATAATTACAAAGAATTTAAGGATGCACGGCTTAACATTGGAATTGTGGACAGTCTTAAAAATGTTGTAGCTATTGAATAGATTATATATTCGCTGAAAAGGGAAGGGCTCAGTAGGAGTAAAGTAAAAGACAATAGTCGCGGACCGCCGTGCGTCTGTTCGCTTTAGAGTTTTATTGGAGACTGACACTTTTGCTATACATATTCTTTATGCTTACATTCGTATGCAACAGTGACAGATAACTTGTAGATAACATAAGATTATTATCTGCTTATATTAACATGCGTGCATTGGTACTTATGTTTGTATTGATTTTCAACACCCTTCCTCAATGCAAACATGTTTTACAAAAATTTTCAAATCAAATTTAACAGCTTTGTAAAATGAACATGCTTCGCTTTAGGGAGATTTTTCGTTAAAATATCAGCTATCATTTCATTGGTTGATGTATACTGTAAAACAATTTGTTCTTCGTTTACAACCTGTCTTGCAAAATGATATCTAATATCAATATGCTTTGTTCTTTCATGGTGTACAGGATTCTTAGCTAATTGTTGAGCACTTAAATTATCGCCATGAAGAATAGTTGGAGTACTCGAGTCACCGCAGCCAATCTCCACTATAAGACGCCGTAGGTATATGGCCTCCTTACACGCAGTTGAAAGAGCCATATACTCCGCCTCCGTGCTGCTAAGTGCCACGCTGCGTTGCTTTTCAGATCGCCAGGATATGGGTCCTCCAGCCAAGTAGTATACATAGCCAGTATACGACTTGCGATCGATGCGGTCGCCACCCCAGTCTGCATCCACATAGCCGGTAAGGGGTTGTCCACACTCTTTGTAGTGCAACTTCAGGTCCACAGTTGACGCCAGGTATCGAAGCACATGTTTTACACCCACTAGGTGCTCTGCATGCGGATCTTGATTCCGTTGAGCTAACTTGGCAACGGAATGCAATATGTCTGGCCTTGTTGTAAGCGCCAGCCACATTAACTCGCCAATTGAAGACTGGTAGGATGCAATGTCAACCTTTTGACAATGCTCGCTGGTACATATCACTTGGAAACCAGCATCCAGTGGGGTCGCTGTAGGTCTACAGGTCTCGCATCCATGTTCACGCAATATGTCTTTGATGTATTGCGAATTGCTTAGCGAAATTTCGCCAAGCTCACCGTCGCGCTGCACTTCCATGCCAAGGAACAAATGCAGCTCTCCCTTGTCAACACATTCAAACGATGTTGTAATGGCTGACTTGATGTTGGCCAAGTCCTCTTTTGATCGGCATGCTATAATTATATCATCAACATAAACAAGGATTAATGATAAGTCACCTCTTCCGTTCCTTTTGTAAAGACACGGTTCATTTTCACATGCTACAAAATCTATGCCTTGTAGTACACAATCGAGCTTGGAGTTCCACTCGCGCCCCGACTGCTTCAATCCATATATTGCCTTTTTAAGCAATAAAGCCTTACTTGGATTATTGGGATCTGTGTATCCCTGTGGCTGCTTCATATAAACAGTTTCATGCAGGTCGCTATTCAAATAGGCGGTACACACATCTATCTGGTGAAGGTACAGCTTCAATTCCGCTGCTAACGCCAAAATAAACCGCACGGTTTCCAATCTGCAAACGGGTGAGAACGTCTCTACATAGTTCACGCCATACTTCTGGGAGCACCCTTTAGCAACGAGTCGTGCCTTGAAACGTTCGACTTTTCCATCAGAGTCACGTTTCAGGCTGTATACCCACTTGCAACCAACTGCTCGCTGATCTTTTGGTAAATCAGCCATCTGCCAGGTTTCGTTTGATTGTAGTGCCTGATATTCCTTTTGCATCGCCTCTTGCCAGAATACTGCATGTGTGCTACCAACGGCCTGATCATAGGATGTCGGAACCATTACGTCACTAGCAACCAATGCTCCAAGCACATTGTATTGCTTTCTTGGACGACCAGGTTTACCATTTCGAACAATTTTAGGCCGGCCTGGCCCAATCTTCACAGTATCCTCGTCAGAGTCTTCTTTTTCGACTGCACTCTCATATGCGTTGGAGCTGCTGTCGTCAGAACTGTGCTCACTGTCATCGTCGTCGATGCTTCTGTCACCATCCGTGTGAGTGACATGCTCTTGAACCTCGCATGCAGGAAAATCTACCGTAACGGTATCTTCATTGGTATGACCACCACAACGCTCATCAAATAGAATGTCTCGTTTTTCGACAATCGTCCTCGTCTCTGGGTCG